CATTTTTGTTATTATGTTAATTTAAAGGGAAATGTGCTTATATATTTATGAATGGATAATAATAGATTAGTGGAATGTGATCTGTAGCAAAGAGAGAATGTGACACTTATAGTGTTATCAAGAGACAAAATATACAGTATTTATCTCAGATAGATTTTGACCAAGATTATGCTAATAAGTCTTTTAATATTCTGATCAAAGATATGGCAATTCTTAAGAATAATTGTAAAAGAAATTTGCTTTGAAACCTCAATCAAGCACCTTCTGCTTTCACAGCTTTCTTTGACAGCTAAGTTGAAGAGTTCATTACATTAGTGATTTTCACAAGGAGTGCCGAACAGCTCTCAGATGATAATTTTCAGTCCTATCCATTTTCCATAAGGTCTGAACTAGTAACAAATTAAAGACTCGGCACCTATTAGCAAAACCCTTAGTCATCCAGTTCTCTAAAGGTGATGGATTATCTCTTTTATGTGACATGAAAGTAGACAAAATTTAATATCCTTCAACAAAGGGAGAAAGAAAAATGTAATTGTTGTAATAAAAGACTTAGAAATAGGCCTAGAGAGATGGAAAAAAAGCATATTAATTGAGCTCATCATTTTGCTCACCCAGAAAATAATGTGGTCAATTTTCCATACACAGCTGCTGTGTTTAGAGATCCAGGAGGGAGTGTGGTATCAAATGCAGAGAGCATGACTAAATTTTAAGGCATGATTAACAGAATTTGGAGCTGCTTAGAATGATTTTGAAGTGCCGTCTTCTCATAATACATGCTGCAAAGGAAATTTTCAGAGGACAAGAAGGTTAAAGTACATCAGAAGAAATTACTGGAATAAAGAAACTGTTACTTTAAACATGCGTATAACTATATTTGTGCAATCATACTAGATCGAAACTTTTAATAACTTAGATTATCTCAGGTAATGCAGAAAACCATTGGACACCATTTAACTTCTTCCATTGCATCTAATAGATTATTTGAGGTCAGGCCCATTTATTGCACATAACATAATTTCATAGCTTTGAATGTGATTTTCCTGCTTCTTAGCAGGGGGTTGGACTGGATGGCCGACAAGGTCCCTTCTAACTCTATGATTCTATGCATATTAAATCATGTATGCTTTAATATTTTCCTGATTAATACTTAAATCTTTAGATGGAATAGGCTTCAGTCAGAGCAGGGCCAGTTCATTTTCACAGAAACTATACTTTGCAAACAGTTCAATTCATGTTTCTTGACTCTATTTTCTAACTGATTACAAATCATGAATATCAATGGAAGATTATGTCAAACATCTTTGATTATAGTTTGAAATTATGTCTGAATAAAGCTCTGGAATTTTTACCTAATCTGTGAGCAATCTACTTCTATCACCTTTGGTCTCCCATATTATTCATGTGATATATTGTAGTTGTTCTAATGCTCTAACTCAGGCCAAAGGCATAAATTCTTGGGAAAGTAGGCACAGAGAAAAAAGCCATAGGCAATAGATTTCCCAAAACAAACTGTAAAGGAAGGTAATACATCTAACATACCTACTCCAGTATAGAACACAGTTTGACATTATTAACCAAACACTCAAAACCAAGCCAGCCAATCAACCAAAACCTTCAAACCATGGAAAACTCTACATAAATGTCACATATTATATAAGCACACATGCACGAGTACATTCAAAGACGTACAAATTTGTAAAGCTTGCCGCCTTAATAACATCAGAAGTATGATCTGTTCTTATTACAGTAAGTATGTAAGAACAGAGTTTTTTTTTGGCTGAGTGATGGAATTTAGGAATAGTTTGGGGATATAAGGGGCTGCAGTGGTGTAGCGCGTTAAACCACTAGGCTGCAGAACTTGCTAACCGGAAGGTCGGTGGTTCATATCTGCAGGACAGGGTGAGCTGCCGTTGTTAGCCCCAGCTTCTGCCAACCTAGCAGTTTGTAAACATGCAAATGTGAGATCAGTAGGTACCACTTCTGCAGAAAGGTAATGACACTCCATTTAGTCATGACAGCCACATGACCTAGGACGTCTCTACTGCCAGCTCTGGGGCTTAGAAATGGAGATGAGCACAACCCCCCCTCCCCCCCCCCCGAGTTGGACTTGACTAGACTTAATGTCAAGGGGAAACTTTACCTTTGGGGATATAGCCCTCTGCTGGACAGGACTGGAGTTAAGGTTTATTGTGAGAGAAGCAGACCAGCCTGGAAGGGGGCATGGCTATAATTCTTTTTTCTTTGAGATATATGCCCTCCAGGTATGTAAAGCATAGTTCAAGTCATTGCATGTCCATTCAGGTATAAACTTCAATGTAACAGCTGTTGGGGATACAAAGCATTGCTAATTCCAATACATTTCTGTTTAAAATGTATTTAATGTTTATCCTGTTTTTAAATAAATAGATATTATAACTTTTAGCTCCTTCCATTTATTGGAGACAGCTGCAATGTTTTCCCACTGAAAGAGAAATTCCTACTGCTTCTGTCCAGTCAGTGATCAGAAATAAGGAACAGTCCTGCAGTAGAAGCTTGCTAACCAGATGGAGCACTTCATTTGCTAGATTCAGTCCATGAGCTCGAGGCATTTCCTCATCCAAAGTGTAAGTAATGGCATAATTTTAGCCATTTAATTATATGAGCATTGTGATTGTTTCATTGAAATCATTTCTGATTTATGGTGCCTTTAAGGTGAACCAAGCACGGGGTTTCCTCAGGCTAAGAGTGTGTGACTTGACCTTGGTCACTCAATAGGTTTTTATGGTCACATGGGGATTTGAACCTTAGCCTCCAGAGTCATTGTCTAATGCCCAAACTAACATGCCATGCTGGTTCCCACAATATATGGTAAATAATTTAATATAATGTAATTAATATAATAATAGTTTCTGTAGTAATAGAACAAGAATCTCATCTGTCAGGACCATTAACTGCACAGCCTCATGAATAAGAGAGTAGTTGGTGTTTTCATTCTATGGCCATTGTTTCTCCTTTGAAAAAAAGAGACCACTTGAATCCTAAACAGTTGTTACACCTGCATTTGTTACTAACAGGATGACAACCATTGTGAACATATTTTGAGAACCTTCTTTTTCCTGAATATATATCATCAGTTGTAAACACGGAGTCCATTTATAATTCAGTATTAAAAGTAATTAGCCAACTGCAAGGCAGGTCAGACGCTCTGTAGAAACACAACGACTGATTGGCTAGACCCTCAATACCTTACTAGTGGGTTTTTAGACAGCACCATGATGAAGGTACCTGAAGCATTTTTCTCACAACTCTGATCTCTAATGGAGAAACAAAGCCTCTTCAGTTATTTTATGATAAGTAATAAATATTAACATAATAAATATTAGCAGAAGGCAAGTAGAAGATCTAAAGGTTAACACTGGCCAACACACATTTTGGTGTCCCAAACATTAAGACTTGTTTCTAGGTCTATTTGACCTGCTGGTTCCAAAAGTAGTACCAGTTCCCCCATCAACTCTAGGTCTTGAGATATAGAACATATGCCAATACCACTCTTCACTCTGCTCAGCCATAAAAAAAAATCAAGGTATTTTAATTCAATATTGAAATTAATATTTTTAAGCATGAAGGAAACATATTATTAAAAGAAAAGAAAATCTACTTACTTCATACCAAAAGCACAGGTTTTTGACGCCAACTAAAATTTTATATATCCAACCATATATAAAAAACTAGAGCTGATGCGATATATCCAGTAACGTTTTTGTGAATCAGTGTCCTAATAACCCCAGGAACAGATTGAAAAACCAAGTCACCAAGAATAGGGTTTTTTTTTGTTGTGCTGTGCAATCATAGATTTAAACAATCACAATAAAGAGAAATCTACACATTCAACTATGTGAAATCCAATGCTGTATGAGTAGACATCAGGACTCTTTTGTCATCTTCTCCAGTAATCCTGTCCCTGAACAGCTCAGAACGGCCTGAATGTGAATGTGTTTTTCAGCAAGGAGGGGAATACAGTAGTCCTTTCCATTCTTCTGATAACAGCTGTTCAGTGAATAGCGGGAATAACAACACCACTCCGTATATATAATACACTGTCAACAGTGATAAATTACAATACAAATGTTAAACATATAATAGTAATGATCAACACTAAACTAATACAAGGTAATAGTGAACTGAGCTACAATATAGTCTAATTTTAAATATGTAGTCTTATAGTACAATCCTATATTTGCTTGCTCAGAAATAATTCTCCATGAAAGCAATGAAAGCATACCACCAGGAAGCAAAACAGAAGTGCAGTCTTGTGAAGCAGCTCAGCAGAATGCCAAGGCCAACACCAAATCATTCTAGATTTTAGATTACTGAGATATATGTGTGTGTGTGTGTGTGTGTTTGTATTAATATTAAAATTTAATATGTAAAATACATCTTAAAACAACTTTTTTAAACAAAAGGTTAAGCAGGCAGTGTATAGACTGTAGAACTGTAGAATTGTAGAAAGGAATTAAAGATATATTTTTTTCTTATTCCATACCTTGAAAGTATTGCTTACAAGTTAGCTCTCAAAGGTTAGACAAATTTCTTGTATTTTTGCAAGGAGAACAAATATGTTACATTAGATTGGTGACAATAATATATTTTCAGCTGAAACACAGTGTTTCCAAAGCAAATGTTTAAAAGTTAAGAAAAAAAATCTCTAGGGGTAGTTGCAGCATTCAGTATTGACAGTACTACACTTACAGTTCAGCTAGTTTGTAAGAGAATTAACTGTGTTGATAGATAAACCTTTACTGTTGCTTCTTAAAATACATGAGTTCAAATAAAAAGTAAGATGCCACCACTTAGTACTATTTTTAAAAAGAGGGTGCACTATTTCTCAATTTGTGTTTTTTTAAAATAGAAAAACTCAAATGTAATTGAGCTCATTTAATTTTTGAGCCAGGAGACCCTTCCCCAAAAAGAGAAAGTATTTCCCTCCCCCGTTTATTACAAACAAGGCTAAGACAGTCATCTTTTAAATAATGATCCAGGAATTTTTTTTTATTCATTTAAGTTTCAGTATCATTACAGAAAATGTTATGGTACAGAGTTGTTTAACATTAGTTTTATCTCTTTTCTCCTTTAAATTCCACATGAATGCTGGTAACACTAATATCTGTACAAGATCAGTCTTTGATTTTTTTAGATTTTAATTCTGTACATTTTTAAATGTATTGGTTAAAAAGGCTGTCAGCACTTAAGGAAGCAATTTCTGTTGTTTGTTTAAACAAAAGGTATCCAGTTACTGCCCAAGAGTACTGAGCTGGGTGGCTGCTGGGATGACAGATATCCCTGAACGCGCAGCAAAGGGGGGAAAACCTCGGGGCTTGGTCGGGTTCCCAGTTCAGCCACTCGGCTTTTGGCACTGTGCACATCAACACGAGATACGATAAAGAACAAGCAGAAGCTCTCTGTGAAGCGGTTATGAAGCATACTAATAAGGGAAATCCAAGTGTTGTCTACACTAGTATAAATAAGCAGACAGCCTTGTTTTAAGAGCATAAGTAGTTGTATCTTAAAGATGAGAAAAAACACAAGTTTTGCAGGCACCTACTGCTGTCTACTAAAAGCTACCGCTATTGGAACTAGCATTGAACACACAAAGCAATTGCAAGAAAGGAAAAAGTTGCTTTGATATAATCAGAATAGATTTCTTTAAGATTTGTTTTTAAAGTTTTTTTTAAAAGGTATTTATTTAAATCCATTTGAAATATAGTTCAAGGTGTTGACTATACTGATCAACTTTTATCCAAATCAGAAAAACTAGCTGTGCCGTTGCATATTACAGGATACAGTCAATGATATGTGGACATGCATCAAAACTTCTCTCTTGCTGGTGACATCATAGTCTTCCAATAACCATGACGTCAACCACCTCGCCCTTATGAAGTTCCACATACTGCTCTGTCTTTGGAGGTAGCATCAACAGTCCATTGGCACTGCGCATACTCATCAGACGACTGCTCATCTGATTCCCTGCAGGGAAGCAAAAAAGGCCTGGTTAGCAGGGCAAATGCCACAGACTAGAGAAAAACAAGAAGCCAGTTTTCAAGACTCAAAAACCAACAACTTATAATGGTCACACATGATGAAGACATGGTGGCAGATGTCTAGGAAATAATGGTTGGCCTTTTGTATCTGGGATTTTCACAACGCAGTTTCATCATGTTGTTATGTTCAAATTGGTACTTATTGGCTCTCACGCATACCATTTTTCTATCTTGCCTTCTGAAAGCCGTTAAGCTGAACTACAGTCTTGGACAGAATGGTTCCAAAGGTCTCTAAGTACAAAGATGAAGATTTTAAAAAAATATCCTGGATTGTCTTTCTTTGTGTATGACTTCTGTGGACCACATGTCACAGGTGGGCAGGAACAGAGCCACATAGTTATTTCCACATACTTGTTGTGTACACAAAACCTCATTTTCTCTTGTGAAAAGACAGAGGGAAGGAAAAAGAAGCATGATCTACTTATACTTCTTGTAATTTTTTGTATTGCATTGAAAAAAGATGAGCTACACTAGTTCAATTTGTGGGAAGAAAAGGCATTGGTCTGAAGAGGGAAGCTCACAGATCTAGAATGTTTGAATCCTAGTGTTAGATGTTTCACAATAATCACATATAAAGGAAGTTCAGACCACTTGTTTCCTCTTGTTATTTACATTCTTAAACATTTCAACATCATCAGAGAGTAGAAGAGGAAGAAAATGCTTTTAAGTAGCTAACCTGTACTTTGTGCCCAAGGCAGTGGTTCTTGGTGATGCCAAGTCAGTATGCACCGATGATATTCTGGACGAGGGTCCAATTTCACATCACATGATAACTGTAAATACATGCACAAAATAAAAGAAGATGTTATTTCTGTCTATCTGAAACAAATAATATTTAGCAATTTGATATTGAAACAAAGAAACATAGGCCAAATCCATCTCACACTGTCTTACATTGGGACTGACTTGAAGTGTGGAGAACTCTGGTTGGATTAGACTAGAGAAATATCTGAAAACACACATTCCCCAAGTGTCACATACACTCAATAAAAATGTAAAATCTGCATTTCATCTATATATCTCACTGTAATTGCTTGGTTTTCCCACTGCACATAAAGCTGCCAAGTACAACTCCATGCCAGTTACATGTTCTTGCCTCTCTCCGGACCTCAGTAGATTCGTCTCCTATGCAAAATTCTGATAATTAAAATGTGTTGGAACCTATTTCAGTAAGCACACCTAGAAATGGCTTGTGAGGAGCAAACAGCAACCTACTAGTAACGGTCCTTGGGGACAAGAGAGTCCTTAATGGTGAGGCAGTTCTGTCACCCACCAGTTGTCTCCAGTGGAAACAGAATTTCAAGAGGAAGATTGACATTCTGCCTGCATGGCAGAACTTTCAGAGGGGGAATCAGCAATCTATTTCTGAAGACCCTTGTAACAAAATAGCTAATTATAATGTATGTTTTAAATGTGTGTATTGATGTTGTGATATGATAGGTGGAGGTCAACATTTGCTGTGATTGCGTTAGAGAATGTGTTGCTGTAGTGACGGAGCCGGCTGTTAGAATGTATCCAAGTTAGAGAAGCCAAAGAGGTGGAGCTAACTGCCACCTGGCAGGGGCAGGCATTTAAAAAAGTCAGTTTCTTTTGGTCAGGGGACCAAAGTGGAAGTTGGGTTCTGGTGTGTGGAGAAACTGAATCGAGGGGTTTAGGTCTTCAGCCTGAGTGTGTGAAGGGTCAATTGAACCTGTTTAAGTCAGTAATTAACTGCTTAACTAAGGGGAAAGAAACCCCAGTAGTAATCTGTAACTTTAGTGGGATAGCTGAAGGGAGAAAAAGGCAAGCCAGTGTCTTGAATTGTCAGTTAAGAAAAGAAAAATACTTTGCTGTGAAATAAGTTTAAAACTGATCTGGTGAAAGTAAAAGCCATAGTAAGAGTTATATTGGAAACGGTTTAACTAAAGTCAACTGTAACAACATTTAACGGAATACAGAATAACCATCAAACATTGTACACCTGTGAATCCTTGAATCAATATTTCCTTGATCAGTTCTTTATAATTAAGACTCATGTGAATTTATTGAGAAGAAGATTTACCTCAGAAGAAGGTGGCTGAAGCTATTGGAAGAAAGGGTTCTGGTTGGGGTAATGAGTTACTCCTTTTAAAAAGTGCATCAAGTAAAATAAAAAAAAACTCATTTATAAAAGTTAAGCCTCAGCAACATGCACCACCACTACTTTAGTCTCCTCATCACCCTGATTATATATATGTGTGTGTATGTGTGTGTCACTTGTTCATCGTCTTTTACACCCTCTTGCCCTCTGACGTTACAACAAGTCTGTGTTTTGACAAATCTGTCCTCTTCAACTACTAATTTTTAACAGTGTGGTCATTTTAGGATTAAAAGCTATACAACAACGATATAAGAAGAAGCTGCTTGCTTGTAATGATTATACTTCGTATTATCAACTTTGAGCTGACCTATATAGGTTGTTTTGTACTCATACTTCTCAGAAAATGTTGTGGTCTAAGACCTTTGGGTGGGATTCCTGATTTTACAATAGTCCATATGTCTAGGTGAGATTCCCACTCTTTCCCCTTGAATCCTGCATATGTCCCAAAACAAGAGGAAGAAAAATCCTCTGCATAAAATGTGCAGAAAAATAGAGAGGAAGGTGAGCTGTGCAAGTTTCTAGTTGAATACTTGAAGAACTGGAGGAACAGGTAACCATTTGTTTCTCTTTGTGGTCCATTTGACTCATACATATGACCAAATGGAAAATTAACTTACCAGAGATGAAAGCAAATATCACTGGCATGTTGGAACTAATAGAGCTCCCATAAAAACATCACTTTTTGCTTTCACAGTAAAGTAGTAATGACTTATCAAAGTATAATCACATGGCAGCACACCAAATATCTTGCTGTGGGGGGCATCTTGTAGAAAAGCTGTAACATGGGATGAGCATAGTATAGCTCTAGATATGTATGCAATTATCAGGCTATTAGAGATTCAGCTGTTCTACACTTCTGTTTTTCTGATCCTGAATGGGTAACCAGTACTATGGCATCTAGAAACTAACATTTTAAAGGCATTTACCCTGGCTTTTATGATAGTAGGACGAGGATCCAGGATTCCCTGCATCTTCCTCAGTGCTGGGACAACAAAGAGATTGCAGGTAACAACAGCTGACACAGGATTCCCTAAAGACCAAAAACACATATTGCATGAAAGCAGTCAAGAATTATTTAGAGCAAATGATAAAAGAATTGTTATATTAAGATAGTGTCCTTCAAGTTCCATATCTATGCTAGGCCCAGAGGAAATGTTTCATCTACTACGCTGTTGTGTACAGAAGATGCAACAGGCAAAGAGCATACATAGATGAAATTTTCTAAGGTTTATAGATATATAGAAACCTGTGAAGGATAACTATACTTATAATACAATAGAACTTACCTGGGAGTGCAAATATTATTTTTCGTATACCATCATTATCCAAAGTTGCAAAGGTAGTTGGCAACCTAGGAAGAAAATTCAGTTGTTAAAACTATGAAGAGAACTATAAAAGAGGTATTTCAGGAGATTTACTGGGAATTTTGGTGTTTTTATTTAACAAAAAGTACTATCACCTTGTCACACACACTTATGCCTACCTGTAAAAGTGTGTGAATAATTACCATCAGTGCAAGAACGATACGTACTGTAAACATGTCTAAGAATATATAATATATACTTTACAACAATTTCTACCTTATACAACCTCCTTTCCAGCCTGCATTATTTGGTGTCCCTGAACCTAATTATAGTTACTAAAAACACAGAAAGTATGAAAAGCTGTAGAAAATTAGGCTCGCCATTGGGAGCCTACTTTTCTGATACGAATAATTCTTTTAAGTGTTTCTGTGTGCTGAGAAAAACTTTTTCCTCAGAATGACAAGATTTTATTGAGAAGGGAATTAGATTGGATTGTGAGGATTGCCATCTCAATCCTTGCCATTTCAGCAGATCAGAGAACCACAACATTGATACTGGTGTGTTTGCAGTTGGGCAGAGGATGAAAGCTTCAGCACATTGCCTCTGTCCACGTCAAAAAGACGGTGCAGAATATTGCTAACTTTGAAGTAGACCAAGTGCTGCCACGGCTTTCTTCTAGCCTCTTGTAGTCTAAATGTCAATATGGAGTTCAGCTGTCTACTTTAAAGTTCAGATTTTCATATATTCCATAAACTTCTTTTCTGCTCCCAAGTTGATAAAGGCAATTTTAATATACCCCACATGGAATGGACTGGATGAGGGCAAATAATTTGAACCTTAATCCAGATAAGACAGAGATACTCCTGGTCAGTCATAAGGTAGAACAGGGAGTATGGATCCAGTCTGTGCTGGATGGAGTCACACTCCCCATCCAGAAACAGGTCCGCAGTCTTGGAATTCTCCTGGATTTAGTGCTGAACTTGGAGGCTCAGGTATCTGCAGTGGCCAGGAGGGCCTTTGCACAATTAAAAGTTGTGCACCAACTGTGCCCGTTCCTTGAGAAGTCAATTCTGGCCACAGTAGTACATGCTTTAGTTATATCCTGGCTGGATGACTGTAATGCGCTCTATGTAAGGCTGCTTCTGAAGAGTGCTCAGAAACTTCAGCTAGTCCAAAGAACTGCAGCCAGGTTGCTCACTGGGGCTAGGTGCAGGGAGTGGACAACCCTCCTGTTGCAGCAATTATACTGGCTGCCAGTCTGTTATTGGGCACGATTCAAAGTGCTGGCTATGACCTTTAAAACCCTAGACGGTTCAGGTCCAGGCTATTTGGCCGACCACATCCCCTGAAAACCTGCCCGGCCCCTGAGACCTTCAGGAGAGACCCTTCTCTTGGTCCCACCTCCATCTCAAGCTCAGTTGAGAACAAGAGAGCAGGCCTTCTCAGTGGCTGCCCCTCAACCCTTCTTCCTAGGGAAGCCAGATTGGCCCCCTCCCTGTTGTCCTTCCAGTGGCAGGCTAAAACCGTTTTATTCAGGCAGGTGTTTAAAGATGAAAATATTTAAGACCATGAAAGGCTGCTGTGATTTTGTGATGGGATTTGATAATGCTTTTATGGTTTTGACCTGGATTGTTTTAATACTAATGTTGTCTAATACTGTTTTAATATTCATTTATTTGTATATTTAAGTTGTATTGAAATGTTTTTAGTTGTGAGCCACCTTGAGTCTCCATATGGAGATATAAAGTGGGATATAAATAAACATAATAAATAAAATAAAATAAATGAAGAATAATAACCTGTCAAGATATAATTCCTTTCTTTCTGCTTTGAGAATTATCTGTTATTAGGTATAAGATTTGGAGATGCTTTTTGAGGTCCTTGGTGATAAGACTATGATGTTGTTTTATATAATATTTCTTAATTCATTTTTAATATATAAATGATTAAGAAGCATACATGTACATACATATTTTTACATTACTTCAGCCTTGTAAATACATCTTTATTACTTATGAATGGTCACCCCTTTCCTTTTAAGGACCTCTGAAGAAGGACACATGAATACATGTAGACAACAACTCATCAGGCTATTTTAAGAAATACGGTAAAATATTTTCCATATTCTGAGACTACTCACCCTGGTTTCATAAAAACCCTGCCAAAGTGAATTTGAGCATGAAGATCAATATCCAGCACCTGTTTGAGATAGTCCTGTTTAAAACAGAAGGGAAAGAAAACACATCCGGAGCCATTTGTTAAGACATGTTTCTGATGAGCTTTGTCCAGCCCTAGGACTGTTGTATTTTTAATTATTATTCTACCACACTTTCACAACAATGGTACTGCAGTCAGCTAACAAGCAATGAATGCAAAGGTGCTAAAAGACAACAGAAATGTTTTAAATGCAAAGGACACCAAAGGAGCCTTACTACTAAATACTGCACGGCCAAGTGCTATTTATACCTTGAGGACAACTTTCCACAACCTGAACTCTTTCAAAACTTTGCATTTCAATTCCCATCAGCTCCTGCCATCTGAGCCAATGGCTAGGAATTTGGGGAACCGTGCTTCAAATTGCCAGAGCATGAGATTGAAGCTGTTACAAAAGCACCGACTGGACCTTTCGCGAATAAGGCTGTCTGAGTGTACTGAGATGTAAGCACATCCAAGATAACCATGGGAAACGATGTCACATTTTGAAACCATACAGGTAACAACTGTATTAAATCACTTTGGTATAGGACTTGGAAAATTGCATTTTATAGCAAAACAATGCATATCATCAACATGTTTTTTTTAAATCCTGTAAAATTTGTTCAGATGGATTTGGTACTTTTTGGAAACAAGCTCCACACATGTGTGGGAGTGACTAACCCCTGCACATCCCAGTCTTGATGGGACCATAATTATTACTTATTTCCTGCAAACAATATTATATAGTGGATATGTGATGGGAAGGGAACACAGGGAGTATAAATGGACTGAGTGATCTCTTCCTTTCTCCTGGCCACCCCATTTGAGGGATAGAGGTACAGTGGCTGAGAGGATCCAGTCCAGAGAAGGGAAAGCCCAAGAGCTTTTAGGCTTTGATATCCTGAGATGTCACCCATTACTTAAACAATATAAAAGCAAACAAAACAAACACAATCCCTCACTCTTTTTCTCTGAGAGAGTAAAAGCTGCTCTAGATCCCCTTTGTTATCCCCTCTCATTCTTTAATGTGTTTGTTTCCTTTCCCCAGTTTATACTATTGCTTCAATTTAGCACAGAGCTTTGTACATACCTTTTCCCCCATGGATACGCCCCCTGACGTAATGATGACATCAGCACGACTAATTCCCTCATTCAAGGCATTTAATAAATCATCTGGACTGTAAGATAAGAAAGATAAATTGGTTAGTACAATTATATGAATTTCACCAAGAAAATTAACGTATCTACTAAAATCATCTAAATGCAAACACATATTCCTGACCAATCAAAACATCATTGCCAGGATGGCAAAAACTCCTGAGGAGGTGTAGAAGTAGGCATAGTGTTTGCTCTACATACTGGAAATGATAACTGAGTGCTTATGGGATCTAATGCTGTAAGCTACAGATTGGCTCTGAATACTGTGATATTAACATGCTACCTCAAATATTGCAACGTAATAAAGTAAGATGATTGGCAGAGATCAGAAAAGAAGTGGATGAAGAAATTATAGTAATATCATACCTTTCGGATTTAATGATAACTCCATCTTTCCTTAAAAAACCCTTTTATTTATTATCAGGAATTCATTATAAATTACCAAAAAAGATAAAAGGCACTTCATTTTGCACTGCTGAAAAAAGGAATGGTTAAGAAGAAAAACTATTATCCAGAATTCTTGGGTTTTCATTCTTACAATAGCACATCTTCCAGCTGCAGCTGCTTTGATATAACTGTTCATGGATATAGTGAGGAACTGACACCATCAAGACCTTAACTGGGCCCTACTGTGAAACCACTGTCTTATGACATTCTCATTCCTTCTCCTTGCTCTCACCCTTCCTTCAGGATGTAAGGAGTTTCTTGAGTAAGGAGTTGGAACCCAATTCTCCACTCGCCATTCTTTCTTCCTCTATGGAAATGTGCATGGTTTTGACTCAGAGGGAAAGAGCAAGCAGATCGGGTGCAATTACTGTACTAACAACCAATTCAAGACATGCAACTACCAGCATCATTTTGCCTAGGGCCTCCCCATAGCAAACACCTGTACTGATATACGATTACCATGGAACTTCTTGGATTTGGCCTTTATTATGTAGTATAATACAACACAGGGCAACCCATTAGGTTCTGTGAGTTAACCATCTCTGGCAGAAGATGCTGGAGGGCAGCAGCCTAGTGGCCATTTTGTTACGAGGTGAATTTGTCATATATTCTCCCTGAAACCTGTTATATTTGACAGCTGTCTCAAATCCAGCAAAGGATAGTCTCCACCACTCTTAAATGAAAATTCAACTGTAAATCCAGTTTGCTGCAGTACATAGGGAATGGATGGAATCTTGTCTTTTACCACATTCAGTTCATCATGTTATACACAGTATGCCAGAAAGGAAAATCCAGAAAAATCAGTTATAAGCACTGAAAGAATTATCTGTTCAGAAAATATCCTCAGATTTTTACCACACTTTTCAGATATTATTGGATTTTTGTTGTTGTTGTTAAGTTAAAATGGGCAGAGGAATAAAAAGAAGAAGAGGAAGGACAAACCACAGTGTTTGAATTGCCTCTTGTTTTCTTCGTGTCTTCTAAACCCATGCTCTAAAATGTTCAGATTCTTGTCCAGAGTCTTCTTGAAAGTTGAATGTGGTATTCCTCAGTTTTGCAGGCTGCTGCATTTTGTGAAGAACTGGAGAAATAATTTTTCAGCTGCCTTTTCTGCCACACCAGTAGGCTTTTCATTAGTCTTTTTCCGAAGCCAATGAATAAATCAAGATGACCTCTGAACAGGATGTCTTCCATAAGAATAATGGTATCTGTAAACATTTCTGTGCCTCCCTCTGTCTGCTGTCCATACAGGAAGATGAGGTTAGAACAACTTTAAGACCATTGCCCCTTTGTTTTTCCTTGCTTTCCCTGGGGCAGGGAAGTTGCTGCCACACACTGACCATTTTGCATTCTTGCTGGCAGCTGCTTTTGTTGGGTATGGAAATGTAGCAACTGCCAGATAAAGCACTCCTGCTTTCCAGAACATCAGATAAAATATGGAGTAAGCTGCCCCTTCAAGCTTCCCAAGACAGTTCCGTCTGCTTCTACTGGTTGCCCAAGGAATAGAGGCAGCTCCTTTCTTTTATTGCCCATACAGAGAATGTAAATAAACATATTCAGGGTAATGTCTGAATTGGCCCCAAGGTTAGGTATGCTACTCTTTTTTTACAGCATAAGTACAGTTATCTTGGTAATCAGACATTGACATGATGGTTATGTATCATGAAATGAAACAATTAAGTGGTGATAAGCCTTTTCAGACTACAGAATATTCAAATTATCCCCTTCATTACTTTCAACTGTCAGTTTGCACAGACAATTACTGATTGTTCCACTGGTGGTTCTTGTGATTTATAAAATACCGGCAGACAGCTAATAACAATCCACACATCTATATCATCTGGCTGCATTTAATCAAAGTAGTGCTAGCAAAAACATTTGCTTTGTATGGGAAATGAGCTATTTACAGTGCTATACAGGCTCCTAAAAAGCACAGGACCAAGTTTTCTCAGGATGATTAGAAATCTGGCATACTTCTGGCATACTGGTAAAAGGAAGCAAGGTTTTGATTTGTACACATTTCTGGCACTGGACTATGTTGTCTCCAGCTCTGTATCACAATGTACTATGATTTCTGTTACCTTTGCCACCCAAAGAACGAGAGCACTTGTTTAATTGTCCCACTTACCAAGAACTAACATTGTAAATTGACATTATTACAACCTTACAACATGCATCCATACAAACAAACCAAAAACCCTTTTACAGTAACATAAGTCAGAGCTAAGAGATAACAAGATTATAGTTGTCTCCAAAGGTTGTAACACAAAAGATAGAGCAGATCTCTTCTTTGATGAATCAGAGCGCAGAGCTAGAACCAATGGCAAAAGCGCTAGGAAATAGATCTTAGATGAATATCAGGCCAAACTTCCAAACAGTAAAAGCTGTTCAACAGCAGAACAGTCGGCCTCAGCAGGAGGTAGACTTTTTCACTGGAAGGGTTTGAACAGAAGTTGTATAGTCATATTTCAAGAAGGACATTGTTGCAACCTTCATTTCAGAGCCAGCATGGAGCAGAAGGTTAGACTTGAGGGCTTGCAAAGTTCCTTCCTTATAATTCTGTGAAATATTACAAGATTATTTAAGACTGAAAATAGGTTTTTAGTCTTTCAGCCTGGAAATCATATTCTTTTAGATTGTACTCCTGTATCTGGATTTGTATTTTAACTTTAATTTTGCCCTTAAGATTAACTTGAGACATAAAGCTTGTAATGACCACATTGATTACTAGTTGATGACATGAGTAGCATTAAAATAGTCAAAATCTATGCTCGACTGCAAATAGTATGCTGACTAGAAAACCATCAGTGCCTAACATTTTAGACTGCAAACATTATTTAATTAGTTGGACCGAAATAGTATTTTCTTTTTGTCAGCTGTGTCACTCCTGCCTGGAGGTGGGGGTTCACATGATTAATTGCGCCTCGGTAACAAAACAAAACAAATAAAAAGATGAAATGTTTCTCCATGTAGAAAATGTTTCAGTTTATTTTTCTCATATTTATTTTCTATGTGTTTTTAAATGTACACTGAATCAGAAGTCACACTTATAGCCTGAAACAGTGCAGTTCAAACGTAAGTATGCTATCTCAGTGAAAGTGAGAGGCCTGCGATGATGTGATTAAAAGTAACACTTCCAAAGTTCTCGTGTAATAAGCCAACAAGTACCAAAGGGGCTGTTTTAACTGAATTTTGAGTTGTGTTTTATTTGACCTTCATTTTAATACCTCTTCCTTCTGGACTACTCAGTTTTGTTGATGTAAGTTCTCAATCCCTTATGAAAAATTTTCCATAACTTGTTCATTAAAACTAGCAACCATCGCCGTTAACCCTCTTATTATATCATCACTTTGAAATGCACAGTTAATAGGAAGCTGAAATTAGCCAAAATAGCATGACAGGATTGAACACGGGAGACTGAATTATTACAGCGCTGTTCCAACTCAATTTTCTATAGATCATAAAGGAATCCCTGGATCACGTCTACAGCGTCATCTTTCCTACTAATCATTTCACCTAGCTGATTCTCCCAATTACTGCAAGTTGTTATTAATATTTCAAAACAACACAATGACTCATACTGTATAATATACCAGTTAGAACTCTTATAAGCTAATGTTTCAGTGCTCAAAACAAAGCTTTTGGGAATTTTGCCTATCACCTATAGCAAGAGATCCCTACAATTAGCTACTTTGCACTATAATGAACAGTATCTCAATTTCATATACAAGGACTGGGCAGTATTCCAGTGTACTTTACTTTCAAACAAGATGCATAATTTTAAGGCAAATAACGCTCCTGGAAATACTCTACATATTTTTGCTTGTTTTTAAAGCTCAACTGTGTGGATGGATACATAATTTTGCATAAAACCAAATGCATCTGAGTTTGCTACTGAACCATCCACATTTGCCTGATTACAAAATTAGGTATTATACTATCAAATTTGTGCAGTGCAGAAGTAAAATACACTCTCATGTATTTTACTTCAAAACAAAGGACATGTAAATATGCTCCTCGCTTTTAATCTGATCCATGTTCTCTTTTTAAATCATCTTTATTGATTTTATTTTGTGGGTTAAAAAAAGGTAGCAAAAGAAAGGGAAAGGGGGAAGTTGGGGGGAGGAAAAGAAATGAGAAAGAGGAGAAAGAAAAAAAAGGGGGAAAGAGGGGAGGGGTGAGGGATAGTGGGATATTTACAGTTCTTCCTCCCTCTTGGCCATAGGCCAGGATTGTTGGATTTTTCTTTGGTATTTCTTTCCTAGATTGCTTCTCTGCTCCATAAGATTGCATTGTTCCTTGATCTTCCATTCATAGCATAATCTTCAACTTCTCCTGTTTCAGAAAGTTGGTTAGTTGTGACCACTCAGTCTCTTTTCTAGTTCTATTTTGGTTGTGGGCTAGTTGTTGAGTTAGTAAGTCCATTTTCATAATATCTATAATTTTTATTAGCCATTCTTGTCTTGATGGGGTTTCTTCTGTCTTCCAGTGCCTTGGCAGAGAAGACCTTGATTAACTACAACTCCTGTGATTCCACAGAATGAGTCATGGCAGTTAAAAGTAGTGTCAGACT